GCGTTCCCTTGTGGAACGTTGGGCGTTCGTCACCAGCCAATTGATCGTGAACCTTAGCCGAAACATTGGGCGTTCCTCGACCCAACGCAGGGCGTTCGCACTCTGACTCCCAAAAATGATTATTAAGCACTTAATTCTTAAAGCCACACGACCAAAACATAGATCCAAGTCCTAAAGAACTTCTAGAACCATAAAGCCATTGACTTGGTGGCTTTGCATCTTCCAAAAGGTCCCAACTTCAAGATATAGCATTCAACTTCCATAAAAAGGGTTTAATCTCATGCATGGGGATTATACAACTCTAAAGATGCAAACTTTAAGAATCTAAATCCTCAGAAACACCAAGAGGACACAACTCAAAGCTTCTGGAGTGATCACAAACTACAAGATCTCAACAATGGGACCAAAAAGGGACTAAAATCCATAAAGACTTAGATCTAAGCCTCTATTGAGCAAGGTCAGAGCTTTATACCTCAAAAGAGTTGGAAATGGAGTAGAGAACCAAGATCTATAAGCTCCTTCTTGAACCACCAAATTGCACCAAGCTTTTCTTCCTTGAATGATCTTCAAACACACACCAAAACACACACAATGAGCTCACAACACTCTTGGAGGCTCTAGGGTTTCGAGATGAGGGTTTGGGAGCTATGGAGGCTGGAAATGAGGCCAACACCTGGGACTTAAGGTGTTTAAATAGGTCTCAAATCCTAAATTTTAGGCTTTAAGCTCCACGCGTAAACGCCCTGCATTCCCTAAGGGAACTCCCCGCGTTCGAGCTCCACCTCCAAAAGTTCAAACTTGGAAGAAATGGTCCCTCCCCCCTTCAAACTTGCAAAACACGGCCAAAAAGCAATAACTTAATATATAAGGGACCAAAAAGAATAATACCTGGATCAAGCGTTACATAATTTTGTTGATGAAATATACCTTTTTGTTTTATTCCCTTTCTAGTGAGCTATGTTTATTTGTTCTATGATCATAGTATAAGTTTGTCCCTTTATGCACATGAGATTCAATATATATATATATATATATATATATATATATATATATATATATATATATATATATATATATTACATTATTCCAAATCTTGAAATTACCACCTAAACTTTCCATGACATCTTTTTCATTATTTTTTTGATTCATATGTTACTTGACTATGTGAGTACAATGGACGGGTATGGTTTCAAACCAAGTGAGTTAGAACCTGATCACAACAAACCAGTTGAGTTAACCAAATCAAGGTGAGTACATGTGAATTAACTCCAACCAAGAAAATACATATCACTTAATTCTGGCTTAAAAAGGACTGATCATCACATTGTGCAGGTTTAGTTCAAACACATTCATTTTTTAATTTTCGGTAAATTTCATTTTTAGTCCCTAAGCTATAGAGAGCTCTTTCGGTTTGGTCTTTTTTTATTTTTATTTTTTTTCTTTTTTCCGTCCATATAATACTATTTAAAAGCTTTTTTGCTCTCTGGGTCGTCAAAACTCAACATACCGGTCTTTAAATTTGTGAGAAGAATAGTACCATTTTCTTTTGGTTTGAAAAGAAAATTATATGCATTTTTGGTCCTTATGGTACTATTATCGAACCATGTGGTCATGTGTTGTCAATTTTACAAAATTTAATAATAATTGTTAAATATTTTATAATGATCAAGAATGGAAAAACATAAACGGAGGGCAACATACTTTCTTTGATGTTTTTGGGTTAATTGCAAAAACGTAAACTTCATTACATGAAATAGCAATGCACTTTTTGTTTTTGCAATTAATCCTAAATGAATCCTGTTGATTCAAGCAATTAATCCAGGAGAAGGTCTGAGGCGGTATCCTAACTTGATTGATTTTATATTGTAAGTTTTGAAGGAATTGACACTATCTGTTTCTTCATACTTCATCTTTCCCGAAATGAATTATTATAATCGGACGAGATTCAACCATTGTAAATAACTTAACCGTTTCCTAATTTTTTGTTTGGTATGAGTGATGAGTATGGTTGGTTTTCCTTTTAAATGAGTTCTCATCGAGGACAACGAATGCTTAGTGTACACCCTACATTAATAATCTTATATTACAATTTTATTAGTCTTTTTTAGTAAATTGTTATTTACCTTTCCATTTTATTACTCTTTTTAGTATGATTCAGCACAATATATGTAGTAGCATGAAGATGAAGCTGGCACCTTGGCTGAGATATCAGATTGGTTGCGGAAGCTGCTGAGAAAGCAGCTAGGCTGTAGAATTTTTGTTATTTCTTTTGATCTGGTTAAGGGAGTATGCGTTTTGAAAAATCAAGAGTACAATCTCAATATCGAGAGAACAAAATGTTGTAAAGACATCTTTTTTGTGTATATTATGTTATTTAGTTCTTTCGGCTTCATAGTGTTGTAACGTTATATATTTTGATGTTGCTAGATTGGAAAAGAATATTGGAGAGGCTAAACAATTTGTTAAAGATAGAGCTAATGTTGTAACATTATATGTTTTGATTTGGATCTTGATTTTGATAGCTATAGTTTACTTTTATTTTTACTTTTGGGGGTTTAATTATAGATGAAATGCGGCAAAAATATTTGTTTTGAATTTAATGGAGTTTGTTTCTATGGATTCATGTTAACACTATTTCACATTTAATATTATCTTGCTTTGAGTCCCCACAAAAAAAAGAATTATCAAGGGTATAATGTTTGTTTTCACGTGTTCAAAAAGATTAATATCAAATAAAACAGGATTTCACTCTAAAATCATTGAGCAGAGCCGTATCGAGACTTTGAGGCGCCAAGAGAGAGATTCATCCTCTGCGAAGTAATCGAACCCGAGGCTGCCAAGCGTGGTTGTTTTCATTCGAGTAAAGCCTGAGAGGGGATCAGAGAAAAGCTGTAAAAGATGAAGAAGAACAAAAATTTCCGAAAACGAAGTATAGCAGACGAAGAAGATGAACAAACTGGAGTTACAGAAGACGGCAATGAGATGCGGTGCGTTGTGTTCTTCACTCTTTCTCTTTATGAGCTGGGTTTCTTCTCAAATTTCAGTTTTACTTTTGGGTTTTAGTGATTCAGGTGTTCTGCTAGGGTTTCTATATTTTCTTGGCTTAAATTGAAGCTAATGATTCAAATCAACAAAGCTTACGAGTTCAATGTTCTAATTCATGGCTAACCTGTGGTCTAACAACGATTGATGAACACAGATTAGCTTTAGAAGAGATCAAATTTCTTCAGAAACTGAGGGAGAGGAAGTCAGGAGTCCCAGCGATTGTTAAAACAGGGCAGGCTGCTGCAGCTAGTGGCGTCAACAATGCTGGTGGGTTGGTTCCCAAAAGTGGTGATAAGGGTGAAGCGGATGGAGAAAAAGACGACTTGGTTTTACAGGATACGTTTGCTCAAGAAACTGCTGTAATGGATGAAGATCCACATATGTATGTACCCTTATCATCTCTCTTTATCAGCATTTTAACAGATTTATGTTGGTTTTCAACCTTTTTCAATTTGCATACAAGATGCATTACTTCACTTTTGCCTGAAAAAGATCAATTAAATTGATACTTTCACTTGGTGTGTTGGTTTTACATATTAAAGAGTGTTAAGATTAATAATTGCAAGAAAAAGAGTAGTCCATACAATTTTGAGGTGAGACTTTGCAAATGATCATGAGTAGATGACTTTAGATTCTAGCAATTATCAATCTTAAGATGGGAGTACATCTTTGTTACTCTTCAATCTTCATAAATTGAGCATAATCAGGCTACATTTGATTTGTGTGATTTGAGCTGAAGTTAGTATAACTTGTGATATTAATGAACTTATAGCCTTACTTATGTTAATTACACAGGTTAAAATATGTTGAGCAAGAGTTAGCTAAGAAAAAAGGGAAAAACATAGATGAGGCAGATCAAGTTGAGAATGATATAAAACGTGCAGAGGATGAATTATACAAAATTCCAGAGCATCTTAAGGTAATTAAAATTTGGTATTATGGTAATTTGTTATAATTAAATTACTTGTGATATACATACGTAATTACTTATGTTAACAATCCCATCCCATGTGTTGACTTTAGGTCAAACGAAGGAACTCAGAGGAAAGCTCTACTCAGTGGACCACTGGAATTGCTGAAATCCAGCTTCCCATCGAGTATGCCTCGTCATCATCTTATTCTTTCTGTGTTTGTGTGTGTTTTGTAAATATAGAGAAGTGTTAAGAAAATATATATGTTTGTTATGGGGTTGAAATAAAAATAATGTTGCAGATTTAAGCTGAAAAATATAGAGGAAACAGAAGCTGCGAAAAAGCTTTTGCAGGAGAAGAGGCTAATGGGCCGGGCTAAAACAGACTCCACCATACCTTCAAGCTACAGTGCTGATTATTTCCAACGTGGCAAAGACTATGCTGAAAAACTTAGAAGAGGTATGTATACTGTGTCTATGTACCTGATTTACATCTGACATGATGTTGACTTACAATGTTGTGTTAATTGTATTGATGGATGATTTGTAGACCATCCTGAGCTTTATAAGGAAAAAGGAGGAGCAAATAACAATGGGGAGGCTAGAGCCGGTGATTCTGCCGCCGCGGTAGATGGAGGAGCAGGTGGAGGAGGTGGTGGTGGTGGTGGAAGACAGGCGGCAACGGATCAATTTATGCTTGAGAGGTTTAGAAAAAGAGAACGCCATCGTGGGACCAGGAGATGATGATGATGGATGACAAAAAAACAAGTTTTTGGTGTCTTGTACTTTTTAAATCCTTGATACAAGTCTCCTGTGCTATTTGTACCTTTTATGATATTAGAAATTTTTTCACGTTAATTAATTTATTTATGTGGCTATTCACATCCATCTTTCCGTTTTTGAATGGAAAATGAAAATTAGTCATTTGTTTTGTCTAAAACCAAATTTGAATTATATAGCCAGAAAAAACACCATATAGATTTATATCTAACAACACAACTAACCAGAAAACAATGAAAGCTAAAAAGAGTTCAAATAAAGAAATTACACATGTTACAAAAAAAAAAAGTTCTTGTTTAGATACCCTTTTTATGTTTGATCTTTATTTTCATTTCTTAAAAGAAAAAACCAAACCATGATCAAAACTCAAAACTCAAAAAATTTAACCTCCTAAAACATAACAACCAAACCTACTTCCTCCTCTTAAGTGGGCCCGTTTTAAACCCACTCTTAGTGGGTTTCCCCCACGGAGTCTTGGAAACACCGCCTCTACAACCACTACTCTTACTCTTCCCTTCACCACCACCATGCGGATGGTCCACCGGATTCATAGCAACACCTCTAACCACCGGCCGCCGCCCAAGCCACCGGCTCTGCCCCGCCTTCCTCAGCTTCTTAGTTGCATGTTCAGGGTTCGACACCACCCCGATTGTGGCCCTACACCGGGAATCAATCAACTTTTCAACACCAGAAGGAAGCCTAATCAAACAAAGCTTAGTGGCAGATGGTTCTTTCAAGATCTTTGCTGATGTGCCTGCAGCACGGACTAACTTTCCTCCTTGACCCGGGTTCATTTCAATGTTGTGGATTATGGTTCCGATCCGCATCATGGATATGGGCATACAGCTTCCAATTTGGGAGCTTATGTCCAATGAGAACATTGGGTTGTTATTCATCATTAGTGAGGATTTGTCATGGGAATGTGTTCCTTGTGCTATAAGAAAGAAAAATACAAAAAAGAGTCAAATGGGTTGTTTTTTAAGCGTGGGTTGGGTCGGGTTTTTTTTTTTATCTATTTGACCCGTTATAAACATACTTGAAGAAGAGCTAAAAGCGCGATGGATTGGATTTTGGAAGGCCAACTTCCCAAACAAATTTGAAGAAACAACACGGGCTCTGGATAACATTGCCATTTTAGTTGACACCTGTGCGAAGAGACAAATGAACACATATAAGTATAAATAAAAACTTCCACCAAAATCATATTTTTGCCAACTTTTTATACTAAGATCATTTATTTATTGTCATCAATATACAAAGACATGATAACAAAGCGTACAATAACTATAAGCCCATTGATTGTTTATGGCTATTGTATCTTGTAGTATTGGTGCAATTTCTTTTGTTAGTAATTAGGTATCACTTTCATTTTGCTTTATCTAATGCAACATAAAGAAATTATGAAAATGATTAAGAATAAGGAGTACAAATGTTTCTACAAGGATTAACCAAGCAAAAAATATTTGCAAGGTATACAATCAAACATATTCATTAAGATCTTCCCTTAATTTAACAATATTCTCCTACTTTCAAACATTGATTAAAAAGGCATGCTTAGAAAACTAACAAGTTGACGAATATGACCAAATTAAGGTTTTGTGTAGAAGAGATTACCTTGTTAATCTTCTTATACCAGTGTCAAAATGGAGTTTTAAAAAATGTTTGGCTAAGCTTATCCGATGTCAAATTGCTATATAGCTGATAAGTCATTTTTAGTGTTTGGCAAAAAAAAAAAAAAACTGCTTATATGTGTAAATTAACAAAAAGGGCTTCCTTTTATCTTAAGAATATCATTCAAAACAATATGTATGTTCCTGTTATGAACAGGATGTGTATTTCCTGTTATGTACACTAGCAATTGAACAACTATGAACAGTAGGCAGCAATTGCACAATTATGAACACTACGCAGCAAATGAACAGATACACCATTGCAGTGACAGCATATGATTTCGATTACTGAAATCAGGGGAAAAAGGAAAATCTAGAGCAGGCAATGCAGTTGAAGGAAAAAGTAGCAATTGAACACATACATCTAAAAGTTGCAGACATCACACAGATTTCGATTTCAACTGAAATCAGGGGAAAAGGAGGCACAGTTGAACGAAAGCAGGAAAGGATGAAGAAAATCGCACCTAAATTGAATCTGTGGATTGCGAACCTAAATTGAATCTGTGGATTGCGACGGTCGCCGGTTCTGTTGGGTGCGACGGTATCCGGCGATGGAATTCGGCGGCGAGCAATCGGGAATTGCCTGAGGAGGCGACGAGAGAAGAATGGGGGCTGCTGTGTGTTTTTCTTGAGTGGTGAAGCATAAGAACGAAAACCTTTAATTAGGTAAAGGGATATATTGGTAAATTCCTAAATGTAGCCAAATAAGACAATCTTAGAAAAATGACTTATTAAATTTATCAACAATTTTTTTTTTTAAGGCAAATCTAACATACTCTTAATCTACTCCTTAAATCACCCTATGTCCACGACGGGACTTGAACCCTCAACCTCAAAGAAGGAGGACAACACCGAATACCGTTGGACTTTTGTATTTATCAACAAGTATAATGTATCGTTTGATAGTTGTTAACTGGGTTAGAGGTAACTGAGTTAAAAGCTAACTGGGTTAGGAGTTCTGACTGAATTATTTTCTGACTGAAACTTGTTGTTTGATTTTAAATCTAACTGACTGTGTAAAATGACTATATTACCTCCAAACAATATTTTTTTTATAATAATTCATTTATTAGTAGAAGATCAAATATATTAAAAATAATTTACAAATATGTAACAGCCGGATTTTCAGGAACATTATTGTGTATATTAATCTGGAGATTTAAGGAGAGACTCGACGAGCTGAGGGACCAACTCGTCGAGTCGAGTCGAGTTGCTCGCGTGGATTTAATGAGTGGACTCGACGAGTCAGAGGAGGGACTCGCCGAGTAGGTGCTGGGCAGAGAAACCCTAATTGTCCGGGTCTGTGACCTATTTAAAGGCCCTTATGGCCCTCAATTGCGGCCACACTTTCCCTTGAGAGACCCTAATCGATCCAGAGAGCATAGAGAGAAAGAAGGAGCTAATTTTCATCATCTTGGTGCATTCTTGCAAGGAAGAAGGAGAGGGTTCAAGCTAAGCTGACTTGAGGGGCTCAGATCTTTTGCTATTTCATTCAAGGCTGTTGTTTAAGGTATGAATCCATACTTGTTTTCATATGAATAGTGGATCTCATGAATTTAGGGTTTCTTTACCATCTTTTAAGTTGAGTTATGGAATATGTGAAGTCCCTTTGAGGCTTAGACATCAGATCTGGACCTTGAGAGGTCCAGAGAGTCCCAAGAACCCAGCTTTATGCAGCCACATAAGAGTATTGAGCCTAAGACACCATTATGGAGGTCATTTTATCAAGTAGAGCTAGATGTGTGAGGCATGGACATAAAGATCGAACCTTTACGTGATTAATGAGCCTTGTGAGCATAGATCTGAAGTTTGGGAAAGTATCTTGCACTAAAATGGTCTGAATGCAAAAGAATCTGAATAGACTCGCCGAGTTGAGCCGCTGACTCGGCGAGTAGCCAGGGTTTTGTCCCGATGAACTGAGTCAGGTGGTGACCCGACGAGTTAGGGGTTAGCTCGTCGAGTTAGAGCTTGTTGGGGTTGTCATGAATTGACTGGACTCGACGAGTCTCCCGAGTGCACTCGACGAGTCTCGTCAATACTGGAGTTGACTTTTGTTGACCTTAGGGTTTGGTCAAGATAAGTGAAAGTGGTCAGGAAGGGTAGAATGGTCTTTTACCCATCTGAGAGAGCATAGGAAGGAAATAGTCTAGCCTTCAAGAGTCATTGTTAATTAGAGGTAATTTTTATATGTGATTAGGGGGAGGCTAGATCAGTGTTCTGAGTTCGAGATCATCCGAGTTTACCCGAGGTGAGTCTTCTCACTATACTTTACCTAGAGTTGTAATTATGTGTGACCAGAGGGTCTTATGTGCTTGCTTGAGTTATGCAAGATTGTGTGATATGTATTGTATGATATATTATTTGTTGCTTAGACCGGACCGGAGGGTCCAACGAACTATGAGGCCATAGGGTTCTCAATCAGACCGGACCGGATGGTCTAACGAGCTAGACCGGACCAAAGGGTCCAACGAGCTACGGGACTGGAGGGTCCCGCTGAGACACATAGACCGGACGGTCTTACAGAGTATAGCCTCGAGTGGCGAATTGTTGTATGTGGTATTTTGGGGAATTCACTAAGCTTCGTGCTTACCGTGTTATGTGTTATGTGTTTAAGGTTTTCTCAGGATCGCAGGACGGCACCGGCTTGATTGTACACACCAGAGAAGGAATTATGTTTCGAGGATCTTGGGTTATTAATTAATTAAACATGGAGTGCGTTTTGTAAATTAAACAAATGAGATTTTATGAAATGTGTTATGAAGATCATATGATTTAAAATGAAAAATTTGTTTGGAAATTTTACGTCATTACAAGTTGGTATCAAAGCCTTGGTTTGAGGGATTCGGATGCACCTCCGGGTGTGTTAAAACTCAAACTGAGGAATTGAGAAAGATTTTCAAAAGAGATAATTTTTTCTAAAAACGAGAAAGAGTTTAAGAGAAAACGAGAAGGAGCAGTGTGTACAATCAGCCAGAGCCCGTACGGTGATTTCCCAAAATACCTTATTTTTGTTATGAGATATTTTGTGATATTCCGCATGCTAGAGGATAGGCTAGGTATTTCATATTTTAGGACTAGAGTGGCCTGATTTGTGATGCCTTAGCCTAGGAGTTGTTGTTATCTATGATGTGCTTTCGAGTATGTGCTGAGTAAGAGTATCCAACAGGAATATTACAGAGATAGAGTTTTGAGTAGAGGAGTAATCTAGGAGAGACACCTAGATGAGCATTGGAGGAGCCTACTGAGAGAGTAGTTAGATGCCCGCGTGGGGTAAAGTTGCTTGAGTTCGGTGATATCCTTTTGAGTATGAGCATAGCAAGTGAAGTTGTAACCTAGAGTGGTTATACGTGTTGGTAGAGATCATTCGATGCCCGAATGTTGCTTGCTTCGTGCTTTGTGGAACTCTTGATGATGAGAGTCAGCTACTAAGCGAATATGACGATATTCAGGAAGTAGATGGCTGGCATCATGAGGAGTTCTTCAGCAGCTGATGGCAGAGAAGTGTGAGAACCTAGGAAGAGCCTATGGAATGGACTTAGTCGGATGAGTACGCTGGCGGAGGAAAGTATTCACTGGAGGGCGAACTTGCGTATCGAGTATGGTGATCAAGAAGGTTGAATAACTACTTAGGAAATTTGGGACGATCTGTGTAGAAAGTATGGGTAGATGTGGCAGGTAGTATGGGCCCGTACTACTGAAAGCAGAGGACCCATACTCGAAACAGGGAGAATTCCAGAAGTTCTAAGTAGTGGATTGAGAAGAGGGAACATGGTTCGAGTACCATGATTCGTAGCAGATTGAGAAGAGAGAACATGGTTCAAGTACCATGATTCGTAGCGGATGGAGAGGAGGCAATATGGTTCGAGTACCATGATTCGTAGAGGAAGGAGAAGAGGTAATATGGTTTGGGTACCATGATTCATAGCAGATCGAGAGGTGGCTACATGGTTCGAGTACCATGACTCGTGGCGGTTAGTGCTTCTGGTTTACCAGTTATTATGTTGTAATTGTTTAGACTGAGATCAGATGTGATAGAGTGCGGGGCCAGAGGGCCGTGTTGAACAAGTTTCAGTAGGACCTACCTTGAGAAGGAACTTGAGTTAGTTTCTAGGAATTTTACTGGTGAGGTGCTAGTTGGAGTCGCAAGACTCAGGGATGAGGCTTTATGGAGGACTGCGGACTGAGTTGAGCAGTCAGCCGGTAGATGAGGTGTCACATTCTGTGACAAGAGTTGCGCTTTTTCCGTTTCCTGTTAGAAACGAAGTAGGTAACAAACTTTTGGTTTCCGAGTTGGAGGTAAACCCTGTGGGGTAGCATATGGTTATGATCTTTCCACCAGAGTATTCGAGCAGCATGTCTACTGTGAAGTATGTCCCATTCCATGAGAGAGTTATTAGTGAGAACTGAGATGCAAGAGATCAAGGAAGTACCTTCCTGGGTAGGGCATACTTTTAGCAACAGTTCCAGGTGATTTCGAGGAGTATACCGGGGCGGTGGCCCTCGTTGCTTATATAGTGTATCGGTTGTGAGAGCGGAGTCTCCTGTTTCTATGATGATCCACGCGATGGGACGTTGGAGGAAGAATTAGAGACGAGAAGTATGATAGTGCATTATTTCCAGATTGAGAGATGGGACTAACTCGGGACAGTTAGGATATCCGGCGGTGTGTTGGTCTGAGATTTCGAGATGGCTGGAGACAGTCTCGTGAGGAGGTTTATGGGATTTGTGGATTTCGGGATAATTGGAGTTATGTGGTTATTATCCGGAAGATCATCGATCACGGTGTGGTATATTCCATAAGGCGGAATTGGTGTCTCTAGCAAGCCAGTCTGTGGAGTAGACTGTGGTATATCAAATAGGGATGGTTCGAACCCTGACTGGGGGAGAACTGAATTATTTACTGAGAGAATCAGATAATTGTTCTAGTGCGGTTAGAGAACTGGATATGGAGACCTGCGGTGCGGGTACATGGGATCATGGTTATTGGTGATCGAGGCGAGGCGCAGAGCGAGATGATGCATGTTGTATAGGTATGGATGAGTGTCTCAACGGCTGGTGGCCGTTGGTCGGAGACCCTATGATAGTTAGGAATTATTCGAGGTTGTAATGGTAAATGTGAGGTGGTTGGCTTGTAAGAATAACTTCGGCAGTTGAGAATTTTTAGTTCAAGGAATGGGTGGTTATATGCAGGGTAGGAGATGATCGGGCAACCAACTTCAGAGTCGGTATGAATATTATTGCAGAGGTTTGAGCAACAGAGGAGGGAGTTTCGGATCGTCGACAACGTGTTCTGAGTCATCGACGATTTCTCTGTGTTTCAAGTTGAGGTTGGGATTTTCGAAGTTATAAGATGTGTGAGATTCTGACAGAGTGCATTGCGGTATCTGGGTATGATGCCGTGAGTAAGAGATCGGTGGTGGGGGCAAGACATCATGAGATTCTGTGATGGTGTGCCGAGGCATCCGTGTATGATGTCCTAAATTTTGGATTATTTCGAGACTTGAGTTATGAGATGACGAGTGGTATCTCAAGTGTCTATGGTTCCGGTGGGGGCCCTTCAGCTAATTGACATCAAACGGGATTATCTGAGAATGTGAATTACAGCGAGAAAAATAGGTTTTGTCATGACGATGGT